CGTGCACGGTTTGTACTGGTCGGATCGTTCGCTGATCCGGAATCCATGAAAGACCGCGGGATTGGATTCGGTCTCAGCTCGCACACAGCCTGCTTCACCTGCATTGCGTACTCTGGATATACACGGCAGATCAAGGAGCCCGGCAGCCCAGCATCACCAAACCGACTTGCCAGAGAACAAGCCTACTAACCGTACGTCCGGCCCAAGAGGGTGTTGCTCAAAAAAAGAAAAAGAAAAAAAAAAAGCATGTCGTGGGTGGTTCGTGCTTCGTGGACGGTGGACTCACCGCGGGACACGCGCAGATGGCCAGCCAGATATGCATGCTACGCACGCGCGTGCCCCATGCGCCGCCGCTGTCAAGCGCACCGTGTGCCGCGTACGTACTCGCCGCCCCCACGATAAGGGAGCATGCAAGTAATCGAGTGCGACTGCGAGCGGTCGAGAGCGTTCCACACGATCTGACGGCCGAGCCTGATTCTCCATCTCCTCGTGGGATTTTTTTTTTAAAAAAAAACGTAAGGCATTTCCTTGTCGTTGAGCCTGCGTGCGTTGGAGCTAAGCTAAGCTACTAAGCTACTGAGTCACGTTTTACCTGCTTTGTCCTTGCCTATCCTTTTCACTCTTCCTTCAATTCTTTCGCTGTATGCCTGTATCCACATGGTCCTCCACGGATATGGTACGAACCACGGAAAATTCTGCACCACGCTTGCTCGTATTATCTGACTTATAAGTCATGTTTATCAGTCAACGAATTGTATTTTTTTCTTATACCAAACTAGGTCAACAATACTTTTAGTCATGATTTATAAGTCAAACCAGCTCAAACGAACAGGACGCTGGTCCATAGCTCGTCTTGCCTATCGTGCACAAATAGTCCGACCACCGACTCCATCAGTTGGTTACAAGAGCATCTACATCTGTTAAATCCTTGATTTGGATGTAACAGGCTGTTTGCTTGTTGGTTTCAGCCAGGATTTATCAGTCAGTCAATCGTATTTTTCTCTTACGACAAACTAGCACCAACCGGGCTGTTAGCACCATCTACTTTATTCTTTACCATTTCTAACAAGTAGACGCTAAGGTAATTTTAATTATCTATTTTTCTACTAAAATAGTCTTAGCACCAATAGTATATTTTTGCAAATATTTTTGGGAGCTTGTGCTAACTCATTCTTCTCTTGTACTCCTTTATTTCAAATTATAGGACGTACCCACGGGGTAAGACAGGTTTCAGGGTTGTGTTTAAAAAGAAGACCTTCTCATGTAGGTCGAGAAACCCCTGAACCTCTGCTCCATCCATACACAGCGGCACCGCAGTTCCCGTGAGACTGGGCTAGTCTTAGATATGTGCTTTGGTGTGAGGTAGATGAGGGGATTTTTTTCACCTCCGGCCGACAAATTTGCTACCGTGAGGAATCGAACTCTAGGCGCAAGGGTGCAACACAGCAGCAGTTAGCCAACTAAACTAGCTTTCGCTTGCTATAAAAAACAATATATCTTAAAAAAAATTAAACGTCTTATAATTTAGAATATCGGAAGTTTGTTTTTCCTTGCAAGGATCGGACCTATAGGAAAGCAAATCGAACCGAGCTGAGCACTACACGATTCGACTACTCGTTGTCAAACATAAAATCAAACTGGGCGTAAGCATCGAACCATGCGGTGTCTGTTCCAATTAAAAATTCGCCTTACATAGGATAGGCATTCACGGGGTAGCCTATGAAGATTCATCACTTCCAGTTTGTTTATTGGGCCTATTCGTTTGTTGGTTTCAGTCAGGGTTTATCAATTAGTTAACGGTGTTTTTCTCTTACAATAAATCAGCACCAGCCGAGCTTATCAGCTCAGAAACCCACCAGCGAACAGCCTGATTGTTTGTTTGGAGCAATCACCGATGCTCTCTCAAATCGAACTCTACGCAGCCAAACTGTTTCTGTTCGGTTTGATTTAACACTGTAGCTTCTCTTAGCACCAATGAATATACATATATACTAATTAAGTACTTTACTCCTTTTAGGTAAAGAAATGTGAGAGGCATTCTTGTTAGATACAGAAATATGAGGGGGCATGCCCGGTGTCACTCAACACACACAACTCTAACATGTCTTGGAACTTTGGAAGCTATGGATCAAGATGAGCATAGAGTCATTTTGGAATGGCCATGAGATTTTTCTTTAGAAAAAAATCACTTTGACTATTAGACACTTCACTCTTTCACTGAGCTTAATAAGATCTTGTTTGGTTGTATTTGTGTCCATCCTAATCACATGTATTGAGGTGAATTATGATGAAAAATTAACTAAAATACATCATGTTCTAGAAAAGGGACAAACAGTGCGTTCATGCCAGCAAAATTCCTTGAACCAACCACAGATGTAAGACGAGTTCCTGCTAGAGTACTTGCGGCCATGCGGAGGAAAACAGGTCACATGAGACCTTGTATGATCTAATACTTCTTCCATCCAAAAAGAATAAATTCTAAGATTGAATCAAGTCATTTTTAAATTCAACTAAATTTATAGAAAAAATATCATCATTTATATATCCAAATAGATGCACTATGAAAATATTTTTCCATTATTAATCTAATGATATTTACATATAGGAATCATAAATGTTGATATTTTTCATATATTTAGTTAAGCTTAAATTAATTGATTTCTCAATAAACGAGATTTGTATTTTTTTTTCTGTTGGACAGAGAGTAATTATTCAATACCCGGCTGTCCTTGCATGAAAATAATTTTTAATAAATGCTAATGAGAATATTTTCTTGTTGAACTTTAGCTATGTCACAATGTTCAACAAAAGAAAACATCAAATACGTGGATCCGGGTCAGCAATCTCGGACCACAAAACCCATGCTTTTTCCATAAAGAAAACTCAAAAGGTACAAGTGAACTTGTTCACATGACTTCCTGATCTGTTGCTGACACGGCAACCCATACCATCATATTTGTCAAAATATGATTAAGCTACCAATAAATCCCTAAATAACCCGCGCCTCTTCATTCTTGATTAACAAAATTTGTTCTTTGAATCATTCTTAATTAACAAAATTTGTTCTTTGAATCATTCTTGATTAACAAAATTTGTTCTTTGAATCATGCATGACTTCCCTTTCTGATAAGCCGACTTGGAACCATCTAATTGCGTTTATGGCTGTGGATTCATCATATGGTTGTGGAGGGAGTATGTAAGACTGTCCGCACCTCGCGCCGGGAACCGAGCCTGTACTGGAAATATATAGAGGAAAGGCTCGCACCGCTGCTCTCTATTTCATCCCCAATCCCTCCGTTTGCTACAGGGTATCTCCAAACCCAGCGTACCAGCCGCACAGCACGCTAAACACTGTAGCAGAGAGAGAGAGAGTTGGTGAGAGAGAGAAAGGGGGAGGGAGGGGAATAAAATATGGAATAGTGGGTATAGAGTATGGAATAGAGATAACATGGGTGCGGAAGAAATGGATATAGAGTAGAGAATCTCGATGACTATGATAGAATATTCCTTTTAGAGTATGGAAATAGAGGTTGATGAGTGCGGATAGTCTAAGGGCATGATTGGTTCCATCAGACCCATGGGATGTAGGTTTATGACAATATGCAAAAAAAACCCTACTTGGTCTGGCTATCACGATGTGTAGATTTTGGATGTTTCTTCGTAGCTAGGCTCACCGGATGCGGACAATCACGGTACATAAATAATTTTTAGAGGCGTCTTCCTTTTTTTTAATAGAAGTGGTTGTCTTAGCACGCCGTCACTAACCTTCGCGGGAGGCACTAGCTATACAACCGTTGCTAGAAATCCATTTTTAGATGTGGTTCCATTAAGAAATTTGTCTACAAAAATATATTTATTTTTAAGGGCGGTTCCGTTCATTTTTAGGAGGCACTAGCTATACAACCGCGCCTAGCTCCCCCCTGCGTAGCTTGCCCCGATCTGGTTGGCCGGAGCTCTGCCCTTTGGCTCGACGCGGACGACTGCCCGCGCGCTCAGCCGGCGGCGGCGTGAGTGGCTTGTCGCGTACGCCCAGCGGCGCGCTCGTCCGACGGCGGCACGGCTCGCTCGACGCGGTCGCCCGCTCGAGTGCTCGGCCGGTGGCTGCGTGGCTGGCTTGTCGCGGACGCCTGGCGGCGCGCTAGTCCGATGGCGGCACAGCTCGCTCGACGCGGTCACCCGCCCGCGTGCTCGGCCGGCGACGGCACAGCCAGGCCGCCCCACCTGCGTGCTTGTCTAGGAGCGGCTAGCTCGGCGTAGCTGCCCTCCCATGCTCGAACTCGCTCGCTCGGCGCCGAAGATGGAGAAGATAGAGAGAGGGGAAGGGAGGCTGTGGGGAAGAAGGCTAACGAGTGGGTCCCATGTGTCAGTGAGTGTGAGAGAGAAGAGGAAGGGGGCAATATTGTCCATACGAATATACGGTACCCTCCGTACGCCTGCCAGTGGATCCAAATCACCTCCAGACGTATATAATAGCGTATCTTAAATATCTATAGAGTTGTAATGGCAGTGATATAGTTTCTTCAATAATAACGGTGTGCTTCAAAAACGATAGAATTATAATGGTGCAGATCCCGTTAACCCTTTATATAAAATCGGGTCCTAGCTCTTCCTGCGCTCCCACGAGGCCACGAGGCCACGACCCATGTTTTCCTCCAGTCTATAATCGCAGTTCTTTCGTAGTTTCGTTCTCTCGCGTTTCCACCTATTCTCTGTAGGAAGCTATCCTTTACAGGTCCTACAGATCACGGTGTTCTTGCTACATCCCGATTCCCAATAACAGCCGCACAGTGATCCTAGAGCAGCAGGCATTTGCTTTGCAATGGCCTTCTGCGCGGATTTTTCTGCGCTCCGCCCGTCGCCGGCCGACGTCCGTGTCGTCACGTCCGACGGGAGCACCATCCGTGCGCATTCCTCCGTTCTTGTGAGCGAGGCTTTCTTGTTCCTTTTCGTGTGTGAAATTGATGCGGATCGATTACCCGCCGCTGATTAGATTTCTCGCTATGCCTGCGTGCGCGCGTAAATCCGACGATGGCGGGATCAAGGCCGCGGCGTCCCCGGTGCTGGAGCGGATGATCGTGGGCGCGCGCCGCGGGTGGGACGCCGACTGCACCGTCCGCGTCCTCGGCGCGCCCGCCGACGCCGTCGTCGCTTTCCTCCGCTTCCTCTACTCCAACCCCAGGTAACAACAACGGCAATTACCAACAGCATGCCAGCATGCCACGGTGCGCGCGCGCGGCCTGCCTTGCTTGCCCCGCCGGAGTAGATCCTCCTCGCTGATCGTCGCGCGTGCGGGCGTGATGCAGGGCGGCGGCGGCGGCGGCGGCGGGGGAGTGGGCGGAGGAGGACGCGGTGAGCGCGCACGGGGCGGCGCTGCTGGCGCTGGCGCACGCGTACCGTGTCCCGTGGCTGAAGCGGCGCACGGAGGCCGCGGTGTCGGCGCGACTGACCGCGGAGCGCGCGGTGGACGCGCTCAAGCTGGCCGCGCTCTGCGACGCGCCGCGGCTGTACCTGTCGTGCGCGCGCCTCGCGGGCAAGAACCTGGACGCCGTGGAGCGGTCCGAGGGGTGGAGCTTCGCGGGCCGCCACGACGCCGCGCTCCGGCTCAACCTGCTCCAGCTCCTCCACGACGCCGACCAGGTGCGTCTCTCGCCGTGCCTTGCCTCCGACGGTTAGCTGTTACCAGTTAAGACATTGTTTTATGTTTTTTTGGATTAAGAAACAAGTTTCCAAGTCATGGCAGCGTCAGAACTAGCACTTCTTTTTTAGAACAAGTGCCAGTTCTTTTTTTTAGAACAAGTGCGTATATGGATCATATCTCCATATGATGAGTCATCGTTGAGAGCTCTTGATGGCTGTGCTGAATGCCAACAGTTCCATGACACACCAGCATCTGTATGAGATAGTTCCTGCCCACCTAAAAATCTATTGAATTTTCACCTAGTCAGATGCTGTACTGATATAGCGATGTCTCATTGCCTGATAGAAACAAAGATAGTCCAACCATGCTGCTACTTAGCTTAGCACATCGGTGCACAGAGTGATGCAATCCTGAATTCTTTCAACTTGACACTAGAGTTTGGCACCCATCCTCCCATGGTACAGACCTACAGTCGAAATGCTGCTGTGCTCCAAACAGACACTACAGAAATACAAATCGACCACGAGTACCACGATTCGGCACATCCCTTCCCATTTCCTGACGCGGACACGTCCGTCTCAATCATTTTCTTTTCCCTGGCACTGACAGAGAAACGAGAGGTGGGAGAGGGAGCGTGCGTCGCAGCACGTGTACGGGCAGCTCAGCGACGCCATGGCCTTCCTGGACCGCATCTTCGCTGGCACAGAAGAAGCCTCGTCGTGCGAGGACGAGGACGAGGACGAGGACGGCGTCCGCCGGGGGCTCGAGCAGCTCATGCGGCACTTCGCCGCGTGCGGCGGAAGGACCAGGAAGCCCGCCGCCTGCCCGCGCTGCAGGCGCGCGTTCCAGCTCCTCCGGCTCCACGCCTCCGTCTGCGACCGCGCCGGCGCCGGCGACGGCGACGGCGACGGCGGCGAACCTTGCAAAGTTGCCTTGTGCAGGTAAATGCCATGCAGATGAATCATCACACGACAATGTCGTGTAAAAAAATGTTTCTTTTTCATTTCTTTTTGGTGTGCGTGTGGACGAGCTGTAGAGGCAGTTGGTAGCAACACCAACAACACGAGGGAACAGTGCACAATTCTGCGGCTGCAAGTGTTTTGTCCCGCTGCTGGAGACGTACTCCAAGTTCTTTTGGTACAGTTGAACATGAATGGCATGAAAGAAAAAGAAACCTGAAGGACCATCTGACTATATCTGAAAGTGCACGTGTCAGTGGATAGCATCCACCACAACCTCTATATCTACCATGACTGTACATGTGCCTTTCCCAGACCATTTGCTATGAATCTGAAGTGATTTTGGTTTCCTATTCCAGCAACCTCAAGGCCAAGATGCAAGAAGAGGGAGTGGACAAGACTTGGAAGCTTCTGGTGAAGAAGGTGACCAGGGCTAGGGTGATGTCTGCTCTGGCCAGCAGGGAGGTGCCAGAGGTTGTGAAGAAGTCATGGGCCAAATACAGCAGCCGTAGAGCTGCCAGAATTAGATGAAAAAAGGGGGGAAATGAAGGAAATACAAATACTAGTTCTGTACATGTCCGACACAATCTTGGTTTACATTGTGTGCTTTGGCAGTATTCCTACTGTATTTTTTGGGGGGAGGGACACAGAAGTCACACTCTGCATATGCGTGTAGCCAAAGAAGCTTGATGCCTGTATATTATGTGGCGCCAAGGTTCAGAATGTACTCATAACACATTCATATTGATTCATGGTTTTCAATAAAAAAGGAAAAAGAATACATAAGATATTGCTTATTGCGTTTTCTTAGTTAACGAACTTTAAATTTCACTTGAATGTGTATGCTGAAAGATTACATGACAAAATACTACTTTTCAGACCGATATAACTTGGATGATTTTCCCTGGATTTTAGAAAATCCATTTTGGGGCTAAACAACTTATCTAAAAACTCAAAACATAGCATTCTGAGAAGAATTTTTAGTTTCAGAACTATAAAAGCTATGACGCCTTATCTAAGCAAAATGTTTTTTTTTATTTTAGCATCTACTTCAAAAAGTTATATGATTTTTTAGATCTCTATGTCTTTTTTTGGATTGACAAGAAAAAAAAAGAGCCTAACCAAAAACTCGAATATAGCATTTTGAAAAGAATTTTAGTTTGAAAACTATAAAGGTTATGATACCATTCCAAGTGAAATGGAACCTTGCTGATTTTTATATCTATGTAAAAAATATTTTTTTGACAGAATATGTAAAAAAATTATAAGACCCTTGGAAATCCATAAGCTCTTCCTTATTAATCACCAAGAGAGGATATACAATATGAGTCAATCGTAAAAGTCACTGGCATACGTAGAAAGCGTTCACGACGAGCCAGCGATATTAGCGTGTCCATGTCTCGCCAACGCATGTAACATAACAGTAGTGGCGAGTCACGCCATGATCTCTGACGCGACTCAAAGGGAAAAGGCTAGTTCTCAAAATATTACTTACTTCAGAATGTGTTTGATTAAAATTCTAATATTTTTTATTTAGAATAAAAAGAATCCCTCTCAAGGTGTGTGTGCACGGCAGCACGGGCTATAGGAGGCAGGCCAGCTACCTCGTTTGACTTGGCGACCAAGGCCGCGTTTAGTTGGCCACCGAATCGGCGCCGCCGGATTTTCTGGTGTACTGTAGCTACTGTAGCGTTTTGTTTTTATTTGGTAATAATTATCCGATCGTTGACTAATTAGGCTCAAAACGTTCGTCTCACAAAGTACAACCAAACTGTGCAATTAGTTTTTGATTTCGTCAACATTTAGTACTCCATGCATGTACCACAAGTTTGATGTGATGGGGAATCTTCTTTTTGCATAGTACCAAATTCAGGAATTGGAGGGAACTAAACAAGGCCCAATGCAAAAGCATCATGCTTTGCAAACGCCGAAACACATTTTAATGGGACCACGGAGTAGATAGATAGAGAAAAAAAAGGCTGCATCTTTGGGTTGGCTAGCACAATCCTCGTGTTATGCACAAGTCACCGACCTCTTTGTTGAAAAGGCTAGCTTCGAGACATCGACTTCTGATTGCCAATTTGGTACTGTAGTAAGTTTTTGTGTGTACAGACCTCGATCACGGCAGCTCTAGGTGGGGTGCATACTGTTCATGCATGTAATTTCTCTACTAGTTCAGTTACGGTATTGCCCACCGACAGCTATTAACCACATTAATTTGGTACGTCGTTAGAGAAGTTAAACTTAGAATAAAAAATAAAAATGGTAATGTTATTTATCTGAATTTGATTTGAAATAGAGTGAGTACTCAACGAGGCTCCCTCCGTTCTAAATTATAAGTTGTTTTGACTTTTTTAGTTCATCAATTTTGTTACGCGTATTTAGACATATTATGCCACATTGGACAGTTGTGAACCTCAGTTTCAGCCAGCGTAGCGGTGTGTATATAGAACTACTATCCTGTAGCTGGCTGTAAAATAACTTATTCTGTAGCCACTTTGAGTTACGATAATTACTATGTTAATTTACGAGATTACAGTAACTCCTTACTAAGTGGTTTAATATAACGTTATGATAAATATCCCCATGTGTTATAGTAACCCAACTATCGTAAATATGTATTGACATTATCGTAAATTAGTATATAAAATTATAGTAAATGGAGGTGGCTACAGAATAACTTATTTTGTAGCCGGCTACTGAATAGCCTCTCCCTATATATATATATATATATGGTGCATTTTATATACTTTTGGAGTAGTTACTTCCATAATCAATAAATCATGTTGCGTATGTATACATATTCATTTATCAGTTTGAGTATGTTGACATACTAATATTAAGATACTCTAAATCTTTACTATGTGAAATTTTTTTAAAAGTGCACATATTTTTTAATATATTTTATAATACTATGATAGTATTATATAAAATAAGTATAACCATATACTCTAAGTATATATATACATACTTGTCATACATAGTACCCTAGATGGTCTAGTATGATAATATACTCCATCTACATACACTTCGTCGGGTCATATACGCCATAAATCTAGAGATATACACATGGGAGTAACTACTCCCTGAGAGTAGGAAATAATTTTCATATGTATATACTAATTTACGATAGGGAGAGGCTATTCAGTAGCCGGCTATAAAATAAGTTATTCTGTAGCCACCTCCATTTACGATAATTTTATATACTAATTTACGATAATGTCAATACATATTTACTATAGTTGGATTACTATAATACATGAGGATATTTACCATAATGTTATAGTAAACCACTTAGTAAGGAGTTACTATAATCTCGTAAATTAATATAATAATTATCGTAACTCAAAGTGGCTACAGAATAAGTTATTTTGTAGCCAGCTACGTGATAGTATATATATATATATATATATATATATATATATATATATATATATTCTACAGCTGGTCATAGAATAACTTATTCTGTGGTCACTTTGAGTTACGATAATTACCATACTAATTTACGAGATTACAGTAACTCCTTACTAACACTATTACAGAATGGACTTGTTGTCCCGGGCGGTAACGGCCTTTAGTCCCGGTTACCGCGCCGGAACAACGATTCCGAGACTAAAGGTGCCATCTTTAGTTCCGAGTCATCGAGCCGGGACTAAAGAGGGACCTTTAGTCCCGGTTGATGTTACCAACCGGGACTAAAGGCCCTCGGTAGAAGCAAGCGTGGCGCACCCTTTAGTCCCGGTTGGTAACCTCAACCGGGACTAAAGGTTCTTTTTTTTTCTTTTTTTGTTTAATTTGTTTTCAGTTCGAGTTTACGTATTTGTTTAATATATAATATGTTTTTATATACGTATTCTACGCTGCTAATAATATAAATACTGCACGCATATAATTACATCTAATTCTCATCTCGAGCATTATTATATTGAATAAAGTATGAACCTATATATATATTATAGATATATATATATATATATACACACTTTCATAATCTTGTTCTCGAAAATAACGATATCAATAAACATTTAATTTACACCATTTATTCCTTAGGATCAAAGTAGAACTCGTCGTTGGGATTTAGCACTTTTCTAGAAGAAATCACGCTATTGACTCTTGAACTGCTTTGAGATGGTCTTTTGCATGACCCTTTGTTTCAATCATTCGGTCTTGCATTTGAAATAAAAGGAAAAGTATTAATACATACATACATATATATATATTCATTTAAAAATAAATAAAAATTGATATATACGTACTACGAGAACATCTTTAGGAGTTCTTCTTATGTCTTGTGATGATAAATTCACAAGCGTAGTATCAACACAAGTTATTACACAGTTCTTTGCCATAAACACCCTTTGTCTGAGAAGAAGATTATTCTCATTATCTCACACGTAAATTGAAATACGATATAGTAATTAAACATGTGGGGAAGTATATATAGTACAACTTACTGGTATTTCAACTACATTAAGTGGTGCCTTGCAATCCTTGCGGTGTTGCCAAATAAACTCTTTCCAAACCATGTGCGACCAATAATATACGATCGTTAATAAATTATGACAAAGTCTATTCAATAATAGTTGTGCGCGAGAGATCGAAATTACCCCTGGATAATGTCTATCATATCTTGGTATAGTGTCCGCTCTTTTCTCTTCGAGTCCAAGATTACTAACCGACTTTAGTTTAACTCAATGACAATGAGTATCCAGTGAAACCTACATTGGTTTATACACACACGTACATGCATATAAGTTGTATTGATATTACATAAAATGTGTAGACTACATTATTATTAACACTTACTCAAAGCTGTACGGGAAAAGTATTGTTGTCTTGTCATGCTGCTTCACGAAGAACCTCATGATATTCTTCTGTGCTTCAGATACCCACTGCTCCTTGGGAATAATATCGGTTTTGAATACGATATAAGTTTAGGAATTTCTTATCTGCACATTTATTGTACCCTTTATATTGGAGGAGAATCCCGATGGGACCTTGATGCTGCTTAGACATTCGAACATGCTGTCCCTCTCTTCTTTGCTAAGCGTGTAGCTAGCAGGACTTAAGTAATGACGTCCATCATCTGTCTTCTCTGGATGAAGGTTGTCTCGTTCTTTCATGCCTTGCAAGTCCTGACGTGCTTCAAGTGAATCCTTTGGCTTTCCGTACACACCCATGAATCCTAACAGGTTCACACAAAGATTATTTGTCAGGTGCATCACGTCGATTGCGTTGCGGACCTCTAGGACTTGCCAATAGGGTAGCTCCTAAAAGATGGACTTCTTCTTCCACATGGGTGCGTGTCCCTTAGCATCTTTGGGAACAGATTCACTGCCTTGTCCCTTTCCAAATACTACTTTCACATCCTTGACCATTACGAGTACATCTTCCCCGGTTCGGTTATGAGGCTTCTTCCGGTGGTCTAGCTTACCTTTAAAATGTTTCCCTTTCTTTCTTACTTGGTGATTCAAAGGAAGGAATCGACGATGGCCAAGGTACATGACCTTTCGACATCTTTTCAAATATATACTGTCAAGGTCATCAAAACAATGTGTGCATGCATTATATCCTTTGTTTGTCTGACCTGAAAGATTACTTAAAGCAGGCCAATCATTGATTGTTACGAACAACATTGCTCGTAGGTCAAAGTGTTCTTGTTTGTACTCATCATAGACACGTACACCTAGTTTGTTCCATAAAACTAGAAGTTCTTCAACTAATGGCTTCAGATAGACATCAATATCGTTGCCAGGTTGCCTCGGACCTTGGATGAGGATCAGCATCATAATGAACTTCCGCTTCAGGCATAACCACGGAGGAAGGTTGTAGATACATAGAGTAACTGGCCAAGTGCTATGACTAGTGCTCTGCTCTCCAAAAAGATTCATACCATCTGTACTTAAGGCGAACCTTAAGTTTCTAGCCTCATTTGCAAACTCTGGAAATTCCCTGTCTATCACTCTCCACTGAGACCCATCAGCTGGGTGTCTCAGCATATTGTCTACCTTACGGTTTTCTTTATACCACCGCAAGAACTTTGCATGGCCTTTATTTCTGAACAAACGTTTTAAGCGTGGTATTATAGGAGCATACCACATAACCTTGGCAGGGATTTTCTTTCTAGGACGTTGTTCACCCTCGACGTCACCAGGATCATCACGCCTGATCTTATACCGCGATGCTTTACATACCGGGCATTTATCCAAATTCTTGTATTCATTGCCATGGTAGAGGATGCAGTCATTAGGACATGCATGTATCTTCTGGATTTTTAATCCCAAAAGGTAGACAACCTTTTTTGCTTCGTACATAGTGGTGGACAATTCATTTGGCTTTGGAAGCATCTTCTTTATGAGGTTCAATAAATTCCCAAATGCCTTGTCGGATACACCATTCTTTGCCTTCCACTGTAGCAATTCCAGTGTTGTACCCAGCTTTTTTTGCCCCTCTTTGGCCGTCGGGTATAGCAACTTCCTATGATCCTCAAGCATGCGCTCGAACTTAACTTTTTCTTTTTCACTTTCCCATTCTTGTTGTGCATCACGAATGGCATCGCCAAGAGCATCACCGAGATCATCATCTACCGCTACCTCTTCTTCATCTCCCCCCATTGTAGTATCATCAAAGGCACCATACTGAGCAATAATGTCATCAATGTCTAAATCTTCTCCTTCACCTTCTACCATCATGACCCCGCTTTCTCCATGCTTAGTCCAACATATATAGTTTGACATGAAACCTGACTTAAGCAAATGTGAATGAAGACTCATTGAGCTTGAATATTCCTTTAAATTCTTATATAGGGCACATGGACAGCACATGAAACCATCCCGCTTATTTGCCTCGGCCACACCTAAGAAATAGTGCAAGCCCTCAATAAAGTCTTGGAAGCGGCGATCGGCATTGTACATCCAATGGCGTGACATAATCTGTATTACACGACAAATTATGAAAACCTTGAACATAATTAAGTATTTTATTACACAACATAGATGACACACACGGTTGATTAATTAACTAAGCACGGCTACAACGTAAGCAATCCCAACTATCACTAAACAAACTAAAATTACAATGCACTTGAGTAACATAATTATTTCGTGATAAATGATTTAACTAAAGCAGACAAATCATTCTTACATTGAATATCAATAAGCTTCTCCCTTTGGCTCACTTTGTCTCATCGCTGACAACCGAATTCTGCACGTATGTAGCATAATCTTCCTCCCAGTACCAACCATCACATCCATTGCCCTCCCACTGAAATTAAAGCCAAAAAATATTTAGTCAAAAATATTCAAGAAAAGCAGGTCAATTAGCCATAATAATCAAATGCGTAAGAAACTCACATCGCGATCCGGACACTTGTAGAAAACACGACCCTTGTTGGGTCCCTGTCTCTTGACTCGGTACTCCATCACAATCTTCTGCTTACACTTGCCGCAGATAATGAGAGGAGTTCGGCCTCGATCGTTAAGAACCTAAGCGAGAGGCCGAGGATCCGTACCGATTGTCATCTACTTTCTATACTTATTTTTGCAAACTACTATAAATTTCATATTTTCTAAAATAATATATTTAAACAAAACTAAAATTATTTATTTATCTAACTAAACCATGAAATATGTACTATGTATAACAGTAAAATACCAAACTATCAAGTGATTTTACTATTGTAAATCATCATGTGATTTTGAGCTAAAAATGACATAGAAATCACATAGCTCAAAAACATGTTTCAATAAATAACCATCCGTACTAGTTGATCTTGCTTACGTGATCATCTCGACGAGCATTTCTCCACCGGACGGCACCGTACTTGGCCAAGAAAGAGCTCCAATTCTACGAGGAAGGGAACACGGTCTTCCATGACCATTGCCGCTCTCCCTCGTAGAATCAAAGCTCCTCCTTGACGTCCATTACCGCTTGGCAGAGAAAATGCTCGCCGAGATGATCACGGTCCGCAAGTTCAACTAGTACGGATTTTGTACAATTTTCTAACTATTTTCTAAGTTTTTCATTTCATGGAAAAATTAATTCTAAGATCACGTAAGCCGCCGGAGACGAGGATGGCGCGTGCTCCAGCGAGGATGAGCGATGCGTGATTTTGATGAACTAATTTAACTTTTGTTTATCCAAACATATATGCAAATCATCATGTGATTTTGAGCTAAAAATGACATATAAAATCATAATAAAGTCCAACATATAAAGTTACACATGCATCTACATCGCAAAATGAGATAAGCTACTGATAAAACATAAGAGGATTAAGTTTGTTACCTCCAAAATCGAAGAGCAACACCAATGGAGGGAAGAGAGGAAGAACAACAAACAGTTTTGAAGAACACAGTGCGGTGAGTTTGAATGGAATGGCTCGGGCTCGGGGATGAAGAAATGAGCGGTGTATAGGGCGGCATAATTAGTCCCGGTTAGGTGGCCAAACCGGGACTAAAGATTAATATTTATTCGGGTTAGTCGGTTGGTAATACTGGTAGGGACTAAAGATCCTCGCCACCTTGACGACCGTTGGGAGGACCTTTAGTCCCGGTTGGTATTATTTAACCGGGACTAAAGGGTCCTTTAGTCCCGGCGGCAAAAAATGCCGAAGCTAATGCCAAATTGAGACATCGTTCTAAAGTCTGTTCTCTAGTAGTGTAAGTGATTTACTATAACATTATCGTAAATATCACTGTGAGTTGTAGTAATACAAGTATCGTAAATACATATTCATGTTATCGTAAATTGGTACAAATATTATCGTAAATTAAGATGGCTATAGAATAAGTTATTCTATGACCAGCTACGGAATAGTCTTACCCTATATAGGGTATATATATATATAGACACACACCTGCAGAAGAGGCAGCAGCTAGCTGCTTACTGTACCGGTTACCAGCGTCCACCGTTACATGTTGTGGCCACTGATAAAAGAGAGCAATTAGTGTCTTTTACGTACGTTAATTAATCTCTGGTAAAAGTCCTAATCACTGGTTTGCTTGACCCTAGTCTACCACGGAGCCCTAGATAAGCCACGTGATTTTCACTACGATCAACGCCGCTCGCTTCTTGGGTTTCACAGTGCGACTGGTGCATGCAAGGCCCACATGTGAACCGGGAGAAACGATGAAAGCTACTCCGTCCTGGTTCGTTCCAGATTTCATTCTGGTTAGCACTGTCGTCCTAACTGTGAAACCACTCATCATGTCTGTAAGTCTGAACTCTCAACATTTGCTCTGCTGCAACCATCTTCGCTTCAGAGTTCAGAGAGAAACGAAAGCAAATGAATGAATGGATGAACGACACCAAATAAACCCGGCTTGTTCCTTGGGCTATCACTATCAGAGCGCAGCAGCTTCACAGATTGAAACCAAAACACACCGCGGTTCTCCTTACAAGGTTCAGCAGAAACAAAACATTTTTACTCATATATATAGCTCCATACCACTGCTATCTATATCATCCTACTACTATGGTCTATGGTCTATGGTCAGGGGGCAAAACTTGTGTGCACTGACACTGACAGACGGACGACTGCACACACGGGAGGCCAAGAATGATCACCGTCACCGACCGACTCGTCGCCGTCGATGAGCTAGCAGCCTAGCAGCTAAGGATCCAGCCGGTTGTTCCTGGGCGTGTGCCGCCGCGCGCTCGCGTAGTCCCTCGTCATGAACCACCTCATCCTCTTCCTCTCCTCTGCCCACTGCTCGGCGTGCTGCTGGTTGCTGCCATGGCTCCCGCTTCTCGCCGCTACCGCCGAGCCTTCTCCTTCCACGAAACCAAAGACAAGTTTCAGCCGCTTCTCGGTGACAGAAATAAAACGGCAGCTGGTCACAACACAGTGAAACGAGACGCGACCGGTGAATCACAGAGCGAGGATGTGCACTTACCAACAAGCACTTGCTGATGGAGCAGGGACCTGAAGCTCAGGAGGAAGATGAGAGCGACCAAGCTCACGAGACCAACGAACCTCATGCTGCCGTGTGCCGTCCCTCTCGCTCTCTGCAGTCCAGTAGAGCAGTGGGGTGACTGACGGGTGAGCAGGCGTTGTACGCGCGCGCGCGCGTGCGTGCATACTGCATATAATGCAGGAGCTCATGTCAGAGCATTTCCAACAAGAAGTACAGGTCAAATGGCAGGAGAACGGATTCAGATTGTTTATTTCAGAAGAGTTGTGAGCACAACACCTCTGCCATTTCGCCTTTCTTGGCGGCCTTGGCTTAAACTAGGTTCCCAAGAACCTTACATGTCCTGCGAAGAATCTCTTGTTTCCGGTGCTCATCGGCGAGCGAAACCCAGGTCTCCCTCGCGGTGGCTGCATGCGGTCCTCTCCTTCCTGGGCCAAGAGCACATGCAGTGCAGACTGCAGAGCTGGCTCAGGTCCCGGAAAACGCCGTCCCCATCAACCAGCGGCATAGCCTAACGATCGAGCGAGCCACATGGCATGTATCTAACTTGCTGCACGCACTTGTAGAGCTGTTCTGGTCATTTTTGGATCCATGAAACTTGTAACGAAGCCCTGCTCGCTCGGTACTAATTCACTGGTTTAGTCGAGGGTCTAGCTGCTTCTGATGAATCTCAGCTTTTCTCCATGGCACAGGCATGCTAGCAAACTGAGATCAGCCTGTTTTGATGCAACTTCATTCTCCAAGAAATGATGTCCTATCCCTTTTTTTAAATATATAGTAGTACATTTTCATGCATTTGCAGAAATAATCCACTTTTTAACAAAATTACAGAAATGATGCTCCGTTGTAGCACTAAAAATAGTGGGCGTTTTTTTTTGTTGCCTTTTCGAAATAGGACTTGTGACATTTCAGGCTTTTACAGAAACAATGCCCTTGACAAAATTGCAGAAACAGAAGTGGATACTCCGCAGCACGAAAAACAGAAATCACAGTAGGGGCCGCATGTTTTTGTTACCTCTCCAATTTTTAGCTAGCTGTTGGCTAACGAACCGTTCACCAAAATTAATACATACTGAACCGAGACCTGTTATAGGTTCCAGTTTCTACAAATCCAGACGGCCAAACGGCCAAACGATTAAGGCAAATAGAAAAAAAACTAGACATTGTAGTTACCCGCTGCCAAATCTCAAAGAACAGATATCACAAACACGATGCCAAATACGCGCAAGTTGATGGGAAAACTGCACCAGATAACAGAATACTCTCCACATAGCGCTTAATTCACTTGTCGCAACATGGGGGAGTTCCATTCCATCTCCCCCTGATAAATTAACAATTGAACAAATTTGACAATTCAGTTCACACAATATTCAGAAATATCTTCATGTTTAACTAGGCAGAACATAGACTCCAGTTCTAGCAAACAACTGAGTACCAAATTGCCATGGCAGTTCAAGCCTCGGGGATTTTGGAAGTTTCCCGCTGCCAAATCTCAAATCCGCATATACAAACAAAGGTAAATAGGGGCCATGGTTTTTACAGGCTCCGATAAAAGAAAGTCATATTAAAAGTTTCCTAACAGGAAATGTGCATACGTGCTCTATATTACACGCACATCAGGTAGCTCGCAGAACACGGTCAGTCATATGTCCATGTCAATCAAGGCATCTTCCTCTTCACCATCAGACACAACACCAGTTAAGAAGTCATCACCTGATAATTTGCTGCATTAAAAAGAAGAATATGTCATTAATTCATTATTGATTATCTTGTGTTCCATGTCAGAACCTTGCAGCTCGAAGCAAGCACCTACCTAGTGCAGTAACATCGAAAGCTCACTACTCGTTTTAGCTTTCTATTGTAGAAGTAGTAGTTGAACGACCATCTACAAGAAAAGGTTAGTATCCATATCAGAACGACGATTTAGATGCATAAGCTAACCATTACAATCCTATCTTAGTTCACTCAACATACATGGGCCCTTTCTCTAGAACTGGATCTGCATCAGAGTCTGGGTTATAGCGGTAGATGTCACACTCTCTGATTTTGATAACCTGAAACATAAGGTGTAAACATAAAATACAAGGACTATACAACCTCCAAACCAAACATTACAAGTGAATCCTGACCTCATCAATTGCTTTAGTCATACTGTCCAGAAGAGAACTGCCCTCATTTGTGGCTGCCCATTGCTGAACATAAGTCCAAATTCAGGTAGGCATATCAGACAGTGAGAAAGGAAAAACAAAGTCTCAGGACCATTTAAATTAAATGTGATAATAAGCCCAGTAAATCAATTACTGTATTTTTCCCTTTTTTCAGAATATGCAGTCTAGCTAAACCAATCTATTTATATGAACAAAGTAAAAAAATGCAAACCAAAAGATAAAGAGGAAATCATAAAGCATTACCCTAGAAGCATCAGATAAGTAGGTGTCTACCATCTGATTGAAACTTTCCAACTCCTCTTCTTGGAAGAACAAGTGTGCCCGAACAGCACTGATAAGTGAACAAATGTTGACAAAAGGATGTTAAATTTAATCTGAAGGTCATGCTATCATGAATGTGTGACATGACAGCCAGGAGACCTTAAGAAAGTTAGATATCTCAAACACCAAAGGCCAAGGGAAATGGAGAGAATTGAACTCTCAGCTCAAAGAGCAACGGTTATTAATCCGTCTGTCATACCATCTGACAACACCCCCTTAGGCTGGTAGGAAAGGACAAAAGCGGGTTTGCCATATCGCCCAGGGAAAGCTGACTATGGCATTACCCAAATATCCTTCCTCCCAGATTATATTAGAACACACTTGCTACAAAGACAATATTACCTGAAATCATAATCAGGATATATGTGGCCAAGAGTGAGAACTAGATATATCAACGTTTTCCGGCTGGACAAACATCAAACGAAAAAACAAGTTAGGCTATGTAAAAAGAAAATATGCATAACACAAATAGGAACTTTTGCAAACATACAACTGGGTCAAACCCCAATTTGCTGGATGCCTCAATGAATGGTGGGGCTTACCTTGATCTGGAGGATAAGTGCTCCACTGGTGAAGAAGGATCACTATCAGTGGACTTGCCAAGGTAATCAAGAATCTGAAAGCACAACAGAGAAGTTAGATTGGCATAATTACAATAGCATGCACCAATTCAAGACTGGAATTGAAACATCAACATTTGAAAAGCATGAATACATATAAACATCATACATGCATTCTTTGTGGGCTTTTAAATGAGAAAAAACATTAAGTTTTGCTTGGAAAAGACTGGTGTTTCCCTGAAGAAGAAAAAAAATTCTCTAAAGATCCTAGGGAATGGATTGCATAAAGACAATAGCAACTGTGAATCTGTGGTATCCCATTTGTGACATTCAGTAAATTTTAAATTAAAGAGAAACAATCTTTGGTTCCTGATCGATCAATCAAACAACTAAATTACATGCTCCCATTGACTTATTCAAAACAATGTTGAAGACCCAAACAGCATACAAGGCCACACGAAGAGTAGAAGATAAAGCCTAACATGACAGGTGGAAAAAAGCATAGGACTGCAGCTTGAAGAAGGGTGGCATTAAGCAATGAGGTTGTACATGAATCATTCCATGATTCGTCATGTATGAAAGATGATATCTACAAAACTAATGCCTGGTAAGCATCAACTGCATACATGAGAGAAGGCACCTAAACTAAATTTCACATAAAGTATAACAGGAGAGGTCCCCTGACGAAAAAGCAAACACAGAAAGAGAGGCCCCTTTTGCAATATATAACTATAAATAAAGGAAGCATATTAGAAGAAAAAAGTGAGTGGAAGCAAACAAGCCCAAAATGGCTGAACCAACCAGGACTTAATGGACTATCTGAAAGTATCTAATCAATCAAAACACTTTGTTTTGCTCTACCATGATTCCAACCAGAGCAGACAAAATTTTCTAAACAAATCACTGTAGATTACACATGATCTGTAGCCTTGTTGGAGAAAAAATGATCTCAGTGATGATATAATTCATGGATCCGGGAAAGGCATGTACCTCATGTTCTAGGCTTATTGAAAGCCGACGGTCTGTTGCAGTGTGCTTGCCTGCAAATTAATATACCAGCTTATCCAAAACATATAGCTCATGCTCAACAAAGGATGCAATGGAGTATGTTCCTAGTTTCTTACATGAGAAGGCCTCAAGGTTCCCTCTGATTGTACAATCACCAAGGTTGAGCTGCTCGAGGAACAAATTTATACTGGAAACATGAACAAAACCACAAAAGTCAGTGAACTGGGGAAAACGAATCGCATGCAACCAAAAGCACACCAACGGCAACAGAAAACACCACGTTTACCTGTCGAAGGGGGTGTATTCTAAAAACTTCATGCTGGGTGGCTTGTGAACTCATAAAATAGTCGATCTGATCGGACGTGCCTCGCGAAGTGGGGTTCAGAACCCCAGCTGTGAAATTAACATGCCCATATCGATCAGTGATAATCGAAAGAGTTTAAAAACAAGCGACGAGAAACATATGAGAACCACAGATTGCAACAGGGGCGAGCACAATCAGCATATTCTTTGGCGAGATTTATATGAATCGGAGCATCCATTTCCTTTCCACCCCTTGCACCAGGGGAGCGCGGACTCAACGTGGGAACAGGTTCGAGAATTCGGAAATTAAGCTGGTACCGCTAGTAAAATCCGCGAACAAAATTGATGAATCGAAGAATCCGCCGCAGGAAGAGGATTTGGGTCCGAGAGCTCACGGTCAAAGCAAAGGAAAAAAGATCATGCAGGAGGGAGCGAAGAATCTGTCCAAATATAAGGCTTGCTTACCAACAAAACGAAGAAATCAACCGAAGGCTGGACCGAGATGCCGCTCCACCGCAGCAGGGAGAGGGGAACGGGGACGGGGATGGGAATGAGGAAGACGATGACGACCTCGCGGTGGATCTGGATCGATCGATGCCAGAACGGGGCCGGGGCTGAGAGGCTGAGACCGTGTCCCGTGGCCCGTGGCCCGTGTATGGCAAAGGTGTGGTCTGGATGGTGTGTGTCTCGCAAGTTCTCGAGTCGTG